TTCAAAGTTTTGTCAAATTTTTAGTCAAGGTGTCCTAAATACTGCACAAGGAAGTAAGTAGGCGGGGACGAACAGCAGGTGGGAGATCCTTTAACATGAACAACGCTGTGACTGCGTTGAAAACCCCGAACCTCAAAATCCTAAACCCCGGACAACGGTCAACTTTGTAATTTTGGGGGTTTAGGGTGTAGGGTTTACGGTTTCAGGTTTGGGGCCTCAGGGCTTCGGGTGCAGGGTTTATAGGGTCTAGGGAGACCACGAATTGTGCGCCCTGCCTTGATCCGGCTCAAACACCTCTGCGACGTCGCTGCCTAAGGTCGAGACCCTCAATCTACGACTTGGGTTTTTTTTGTCAGCGCCGTGCGTTGACTGTGCTTGCGCGCATTGGCGCCCTCTCCGAGGCAGCTAGGGTACGATAAATGGCAGCGTAGACTACATGGGGTCCGAAGATGCTCGCCAGGTTCGCTGGTCAGTGGTTCGGGAAGTGTATTCGGGTTGTGGTCTCCAAGAAGTATGGTATCGCATACCCCTACGCCTGCCTTTTGCGATGAGCGGTCTCTGTGGCAGCGCTGAACATGACATTATGTAGGGGGTCACTGTAATCCGACAGGAAGCATCCTTAATCATGAGAGTTGGGCCTTGTTGATAACGGCGCTAGGGAGTCGTGGTCGAAGTGCTTTATCCCATACTTCCTGGGACTTGGGGGTTTAGGATTTGAGGTTCAGGGCTTATGGTTGCCAAGAATCACGCACGCCTTGGTGTTAACTTGGAGGGTAGGATCTTCATTAATCTGCTGCTAGGGAAGGAAGTACCCCCCAGAAGCCCCAAGATTGGGCGATGCCCTGAAGTCCTAGCAAGCCGCACCGAGCTTGGAGCCCGTGGAAAGCCGAAAGTTTTTTGGCCTTCGACAAGGAACAAAATTGGAAGTAACCTGGTGCAGATCCTGTCCTGCGAGTTTGCCTGTTCTACCTTCTCCAAAACAGGGTCGAAAGTCCTAAACCTTAAACCCAACCCCCGCCAAAAAACTCGGAGTCCTAGTCTTCAACTCCTCTGCCCTAAACCCACCGTTTGCATAAACCCAAGCCCCAAGTCCAAACCCCAAACCCTCAAAACTCGGATGCTAGGCTCCCCACCCTCGAGCCAAGTCTCCCAAACGGGCACGCTGTCCGCGATCCTGCGCGGCTGGTGTCCGGGGCTTAGGGTTGAGGTTTCGTGCTCGAGGTTTAGGGGTTTAGGTTGGGATGTTCCCCCTTATACTAACAGGACTGATCGGGATTAGGGGGGTTTTAGGGGTCTAGGGTTTATGATCGGCTTTTGAGAATAAACGGGCACAAAACGTGACTTTTCAACATTCTCTTGGTGGCTTTGGGGCTTAGGGCTTAGGAAAAGCAACAAATTTCTCTTGTTCCTTAACCCGAACGGATGGTATAGAGGAAAAGATAGAAAGCGCCCAGCATTCCGAAACCGCGCAACAAGTCCGAAATTGGGTTGGGGTGCTGGGTTTTACCATGAGGGTTGTTTGGGGCTTTGGGAATTTAGGGCTTCAGGTGGTACCCTAAACCCTAAACCCTTAAAACCCTCAACCGGGGGGGAGAGGGGGGGGGGGGGGGGGGGGGAGGGGGGGAGGGGGGGGGAGGGGGGGGGGGGGGGGGGGGAGGGGGGGGGGGGGGGGGGGGGGGGGGTGGGGGGGGGGGGGGGGGGGGGGGGGGGGGGGGGGGGGGGGGGGGGGGGGGGGGAGGGGGGGGGGGGGGGAGGGGGGGGAGGGGGGGGGGCTTCAGGCCCAGCACCCCCCCGGGCGCTGCCTGACTGCTCGGGCACCGTTCTCCTCACGCAGTTGAAGCCTAAAGCCTAAACACCCGAGAAGTAGTTTAGGGTTTAGGGTTTAGGGTTTAGGGTTGAGGGTTGAGGGTTGAGGGTTTAGGGTTGAGGGTTGAGGGTTTAGGGTTGAGGGTTTAGGGTTTAGGATTTAGGGTTTAGGGTTTAGGGTTTAGGGTTTAGGGTTTAAGGATAAGCAACTTCCTAACGTTACGGATGCAAAGGGCGGGTGGGTTAAAGCCCGCCCAAGCCTCGAACATCCCGACCGTCCCGAAAAACCTCTAAAACCCTCCCCAACGACCCTGAAGACCCTAAACCCTAAGAACCTTCAAGAAACTCTAAGAACTTTAAGAAACCCTAGGAACCTTAAAGAAACCCTAGGAACCTTTAAGAAACCCTAAGAACCTTAAAGAAACTCTAAGTTATTTTAAGAAAGCCTAAGAACCTTCAAGAAACTCTAAGTTATTTTAGGAAACCCTAGGAACCCCCTAAGAACCCCTGAAGCAATTCAGGCTTCTCAAGATCTGGTCCTTCATTGGTCTGGGGGGGGGGTTTGGAGACGTGTTGGGTTGAGGGTTTCGGTTTGGGGTTATCTTTGGCCTAGGAGTTGAAAATTTGAAGGGTTGAAGCATTCCGGGTTTTGGTTGGGTCTCAGGGTCTGCAGGCTTAAGGGTGTTAAGGGTTCAGGGTTTACGGCCGAAGACTGGCCCAATTTAGCTTTAGGGTTTGGGGCACGGTGCCATGAGAAGCATGTCAAGCGGTCTGTCAACTTCTTTTCCAGGGCTCAAAGATCTGACATCCCAAAACCTAAACTCTAAACCCTAGACCTTGAGACCCTTAACTTAACCCTGAACCCGAAACCTTTCAACCCTAAACCCGTGCGGCACCCCCCACCCCCCCCAAGTCTCTGGACCCCTTGAACAGAACCTCGTCAATCTTCACAAGTAGGGTTTAGGGTCTAGGCTTTCAAATTTAGGGTTTAGGGTTTAGGGTTTAGGAGCGCAGGATTTAGGATTTAGGAGCGCAGGGTTTAAGAGCGCATGGAGCTTAACAACCTCCCCCGCTCCGTGAGGACGTACTGCCGCATCCCGCAACGCTCGAGGGTGGCCTTCGCCTACGAAGCTTGGAGTCCACTATTGTGGGGTGTGGGGCTTTGCTTTAGGGTTTAGGATTTAGGGTTTAGGGTTTAGGGTTTCGGGTTTAGGGGTAGGGTGTAGGGTTTAGGTTATGCGAATTGAGTGTAGTTCTGGCTCTCGGGTGTAGAGGCTTAGGGTGTAGGGTGTAGGGTTTCGGGTTTAGGGGTTAAAGTTTTGGGGTGTAGGGCTTAGGGTTTTGGGTATGGGGGGTTTCGGGGTCAGGCTTCTGGGTTAGGGCTTTGAGATGCCATGTACACCAAAACCCTAAACCCTCCCACATGAACAAGTGCTCAGGGCGGGGGCTAAACCCTAAACCCTAAACCCTAAACCCTAAACCCTCAACCCTAAACCCTAAACCCTAAACCCTAAACCCTCCTCCTGCTTGCAAAACACCCCTGGCTAACACTACGACACAGATCTCAACCTCGGAGCCGTAAAAGAGTGGTTTGGGGTTTAGGGTTTAGGGTTTAGGGTTTAGGGTTTAGGGTTTAGGGTTTAGGGTTTAGGGTTGGGGCTGCAGGGGGCTTTAAGGAATTTGGGGCTTTAGGATATTCTGTAGACATTGGAGACACCCCCACTTGGCTGTTCAGCGTTTGGGAACAAGCCCGTCAAGTATTCTCGCTCTCGCTCTGCGGGCTTAGGGTTTAGGGTTTAGGGTTTGGGGTTTAGGGTTTGGCGTTTAGGGTTTAGGGTTTAGGGACTCTCAGCAGGCCGCCCCCTGTTTTCTGTTCTCAGCATTGCAAGCGCCGGAAGATGCGAAGCTCCTTCAGGCAAAGCTGGGCGGGGGCAGTGGCCGTCGGGCGTCGGGCGGAAGCGCCTACCTCCAAAGCCCGACGTTCATCAGCCCAGGAGCATCCTACAGGCCTGTGAACTCCTAGGATGCCGAAGCGCAGACCTCCAGCGACTCAAGTTCCTGAAGCCTCAGGTGCGTCCAACCCTAAACCCTAAACCCTAAACCCTAAACCCTAAACCTTCAATCCAGAAAAGCCCCCGACTTTACCTTGAGCTGAAGCCCTTGTCGGGACCTTGAAGGGTGGAGCGCCCCGGCTGATCCGAAGGTCGCCTCCCGAGGGAGGGGCTTCGAGTTTAGGGTTGAGGGTTGAGGGCTTCGTGTTGAGGGTTTAGGGTTGAGGGTTTAGGGGTTAGGGGTTTAGGGCTTTCGGGTTTAGGGGTTAGGGGTTAAGGGTTGAGGGTTCAGAGTCTAGGGTTTAGGGTTTAGGGTTCAGGGTTTAGGGGTTTAGCGCAGACAGCATCAAGCTCTCGAGCGCTTGACCAAGCCTTCCAGCAGCGTTGTGTCGAAGCGGCCAGGCCCCAACTCACCGAGAAGCTGAGGAAAGCCGTAGCCTCGATGTAGGAGTTCAGGGTTTAGGGTTTTAGGAGTTTAGGAGTTTAGGTTTAGACCTGTAGGAGTTTAGGAGCTTAGGAGTTTAGGGTTTTGGGGTTTTAGGAGCTCAGGAGTTTAGGAGTTCGGGGCTTAGGGCTTTAGGAGTTTTGGGAGCTTAGGAGTTCAGGGTTTAGGGCTTTCGGAGTTTGGGAGCTTAGGGTTTTAGGGTCTTAGGCTTAGGAGTTTAGGAGTTCAGGGTTTAGGGCTTTGGGAGCTTAGGAGTTTTTGGGGTTTAGGCTTTGGAAGCGTATGGCTTGCGGGCTCTCTCTAGGGGTGGATCGGGTTTAGGGGCTTAGGGTTTTAAGAGTTTTGGGGTTTAGGGGCTTAGGGTTTTCGGAGTTTTGGGGTTTAGGGTCTCCTCCCTACTCTTCCTCCGCCCGCCCTCCTCAGATTCCCTGTGGAAAGTTCAGGGGTGCAATGAAGCTGAGGGTGGGTTCACAGTGCAAGCCCCGTCAAAAAGGTGCCCTGGAGCAAGGTCTTTCTGCTTAGGGTGTGGGGAGAAACCCTAAACCCTAAACCCTAAACCCTAAACCCTGAACCCTGAACCCTGAACCCTGAACCCTAAACCCTAACCCTAAACCCTAACCCCCAAACAAACTTTAAGAAGATCCTGTGAATTCTAAAATGGCCCGCCAAGGAACTGGAGCGGAGGGGCAGCCAGGACGCTAGGCCCTTACTTGGGGGTTAGGGTTTAGGGTTTAGGGTTTAGGGTTTAGGGTTTAGGGTTTAGGGTTTAGGGTTTAGGGTTTAGGGTTTGGGGTTCAGGGTTTAGGGTTTAGACTTGGGCATTTGTTTAGGGTTTGGGGATATACGGTTTGCAGATTCGGGGTTCTCGGGGGTTCTCAGGAGGTTCTTGGGCTTGAGGCATTGCGGGATGTAGGTTTGAGGGTACCGTGCAAGGGTCAAAAACTGCAGGTGAGGAATTGGGGCGAGGGGTTTAAAGCTTAGGGGGGAGATCGGGTTCAGGGGCTTAGTTGACTCTGAAGCCAAATCCCTGAAGTCCCCGAAGCCTTTAAAACAACGAAGCCCCTACAGTTGAAGCGCCGGCATGCCCAAAGCCCTTAAACCCTGAGCCCCGGAACCCGAAACTCCAAACCCCGAAGCCCAAATCCAAACGCCGGAACCCCCAAACCCTGCACCCTAAACCCTAAAAGCCAAAATCATGAAAAAACTAACACAAAATGTCATAAAATATAAAAAAAATGACAAAAATAAATAAAGGGGGGACTGGCCTGCAGCTCCTCCCCGCTGCGCCGCCGGAGGGAGCGATCCAGCCGCTCCTATCGTTTGGGGTTCAGGGGTTTCGGGGCTGAGGGCTTAGGGTTTTGGGGGCATTAGGGTTCGGGTTTAGGGTTTAGGGTTTAGGGTTTAGGGTTTAGGGTTTAGGGTTTAGGGTTTAGGGTTAGGGTTTAGGGTTTAGGGTTTAGGGTTTAGGGTTAGGGTTTCGGGTTTAGGGTTAGGGTTTGGGTTTTTAGGGTTTAGGTTAGGGTTAGGGTTAGGGGGTTTAGGGTTAGGGTTTAGGGTTTTTAGGGGTTTAGGGTTTAGCGTTTAGGGTTTAGGGTTTAGGGTTTAGGGTTTAGGGTTTAGGGTTTAGGGTTTAGGGTTAGGGTTTAGGGTTTAGGGTTAGGGTTTAGGGTTCATCGGGTTAATAAGGCTTACAGAGTTTTACAGGTTTGCGGTTTGCAGGCTTTACAGGGTTTACAGGGTTTACAGGGTTTACAGGCACCGGGCGCAGCATTTAAAAGCCCCAAGCACAGCAGTTTTGCTCCGCCCTTGGTGTGGGTGCGGTCGGGACCCTTCCTTAGGTGGTTTGTTCTCTTGGCAAAACCTCTTTCTTCCTCCACAAAGTGGGGAGCCCCCCCCCTTGCGTTGTAGCAGACTTGGGGTGTTAGGCCCTTCGGGGTCTGTAGGGGCGTGTACGTGCTCACAGCATGAGGGAGCTAAGGATCATGGATTTGGATTTGAAGAGCTGCGAGACTCCTGAGAATCTGGCCTATGCTTTGTGGATGTGGGGAGCTTAGGGTTTAGGGTTTAGGGTTTAGGGTTTAGGGTTTAGGGTTTAGGGTTTAGGGTTTAGGGGAGTTTGTTTAGGGCTTACAGGGAAGTGGGCTTTACGGGGTTAAGGGTTCAGGGCTTTAGGATGCAACGCCCCTAACCCCGAACTTTCCCAAAAGCGCTGGCCAGCACGATCCGGAGGCGGGCATCGCCGTAGGCCTTGCAAGGGCTCTGCTCTTGCAACCCTAAGCCTTAAACCCTAAAGCTTGAACACGGTAACTCTGTAGTTGCGTAAACCTTAAACCCTTCTAACCCTTGACTTGAAACACGGCAAGAATCCTACATAACAACCTCCCCTAAAGCCGCGAAGCCTGCCCAAAAGCTTTCCCGCCGAACGACCCTGGGTTTGGACCCCAAACCTAAACTTAAAGCCTTCCACCTCGCAAGTCAAAGTGTACGGGTTGAGGTCTTTACGGTCATGGGGTTTGGGTTCGGGGTAGGGAGGCCCCTGCCTCAAAGCGATGGTCCAAGCTGAGGACGACTTCTGCATCCTGCAGTAGGGCTGGGGCTGCCCTCCGGGAAAATCTATTTCTCAGGAGGGGGCGAAGGGGCGCAGGGGAGACCTAGATCGAAACGACAGGCCCTTCTGCTCAACTATCAACTCCGATTTTGGGTACAGCGCTACCTGCAGCTCAGAGAGTAGCGGCCCCAAGGGCGGTGGTAGCCTGGCTGCAACAACCGCAGAAGTGGGGCTTTCGGGGGGGCTTTAGGGTTCTAGTGATTCTAGCGCTTGAGGTTTTAGGGCTTTAGGGTTCGAGTGCCTGAGGCTTCAGGCTTTTGGGGTATTTGGGGGGTTTCGGGCAGTGGGGATAAACGAATGGCAGGGCGAGCTCGAAGCCGGCTGCGAGAGCACATGTTCCCAAAAAGCGCCAAATACGAACAAAAACCAAAAAAAAACAAACAACTGCAAATGAAAGAATAAAGCATAAAAAGCTGTAAAAAAAAGGAAGAGAGGGTGTAGAGTTTCGGGTCATTTGAGGCGGGGTGCATGTGCCCTTGGGCAAGAGGGGCATCCCAAAGTACCAGCAGCTCTTGCTTTGCGAAGGCAACTGCGCAACCTCATGGGGCCTGCCTGTCAGGATCCGAAACAAGCTCGGCCACTGCAACTGCCAGGAAATAATTAGACCCTAAACCAACTACACCGCCAGCCTGCAGGCCTCCTCAACCGATGCAACTGAAGTCCTAAGCCTTTTACTCCAGAAGGGTTTCGGGTTTCGGATTTCGGGTTCAGGGTTTAGGGTTTCGGGTTTAGGGTTTAGGGTTTAGGGCTTTGGGGTTCAGGGGTCAGGGGTTTGGGTTTTGGGTTTATGGCTTCTTTCCTGGCCCTTTGGCATCAGCGGGCCCGGCCAGGGCTTGAGGGAAAGACGGTTCCGCAGCCTTCCAGCCTGCACTCATTTTAGGTTTTTGGGCTTAGGGTTCAGGGTTCAAGGTTCAGGGTTTAGGGTTTAGGGTTTAGGGTTTAGGGTGTAGGGTTTAGGGTTTAGGGTTTAGGGTTTAGGGTTTAGGGTTTAGGGTTTAGCGTTTAGCGTTTAGGGTTTAGGGTGTAGGGTTCAGGTTTAGGGTTTAGGGTTTCGGGCTTGGCGTGGAGACGGAAGAGCAGGACGTGTTGAGCTTGGGATTTGGATGGTGTTAAGGGCTTAGGTCTGCGCGTGAAATGGCGCGACTTAGGGTCTAGAATGGCTTCTTATGGATTGCTTGGAAGCGCTGAACTCCTTGACACCCTAAAGCCGAGAGATCCTAAACCCCCCAAAACCCTAAACCCCTAAACCCCTAAACCCGAAAAACGCAGGATTCTCAGGCCGGGGCATTGAACGGTTTAGCAACCCACTCCAAAACCCAGAGCCTGGACATCTATCTCCTGCCGCACGCTGTCCTGAGCTGTGCTTTCATATGAAGCAAGAAACTAACGGCCTCTCCCTAAACCTAAACCCTAAACCCTAAACCCCAAACCCAATTCCCTAGAAAATGTACCTTAAAGGCGCCACCCAGTGTCGAGCTTCAGGGGCTGGAAGTCGCCAAAGCCTGCGGCTGCGTCACCCAAGATGCGCCTCCAGGGTGAGGGGGAGGTTCAGGGTTTAGGGTTTAGGTTTAGGGTTTAGGATTTAGGTTTAGGGTTTAGGGTGTTTAGGGTTTTTAGGGTGTTTAGGGTGTTTAGGGCGTTTAGGGTGTTTAGGGTGTTTAGGGTGTTTAGGGTGTTTAGGGTGTTTAGGGTTTAGGGTTTGGGGATGGAAAAGGCAGAAGAGGGCTTGACTCATTTGGGGCTTTGCATTCGTGGAGCTCAGGTTTAGGGTTTGAGGATTCTCAGGTTTAGGGTTGAAGGCTTGAGGTTTAGGGGCTAGGGTTTGGAACCCCAAACCCTAAACCCTAAACCCTAAACCCCAAACCCTAAACCCTAAACCCCAAACCCTAAGCCCTAAACTCAACAATAGAAGAGCGCTCGCTGTCGGCAAGGCACCGGGCATCGCCCCGGTCGACGTCCTGAGCTGCGAGTACTCAGGGTTTAGGGTTTAGGGTTTAGGGTTTAGGGTTTAGGGTTTTTGGTTTAGGGTTTAGGGCTTAGGGCTTAGGGTTATGGTTCAGGGTTTTGGGACATAAGCCCGACACCTGGCCAAAGCCTAAGAATGGGTTTTGGGTTTATGGTGTAGGGTTTAGGGCTTAGGGTTCAGGGTTTAGGGCCTGGGGTTTAGGGTTTAGGGTTTAGGGTCTTGGGAATCCCTTTGTTCAAAAATGTTGGTGATGTGGTGAGCGGCGCCTTCTTGTTTAGAAGCTACAACAGGAAATTCCTCGTCACGTGTGCTCTCTAAATCCAGTGATATATGGTTACTTGTACAGGAGAAAGAAGAAGTAATAAAGAGCTTGCGGGGATTCCGAATCTCAACTTAAAGCCATGGAGGGTGTACCCCAAACCCTAAACCCTAAACCCTAAACCCTAAACCCGTATTGCACCGCAAGGCCATGGGGCCCTCGGTTGAACCTGGTGACTTAACAAGGCCTCCGATGGTCGGAGCATCTCCCAGTCTGTTGGACTGCGGCACGATGTGGGTAGTTCTCTAATGTAGGGTCCCTTTTGGGTCAGGGTTTTAGGGTTTAGGGTTTAGGGTTTAGGGTTTAGGCTTTAGGGTGTAGGTTTTAGGGTTTATGGTCTAGGCCTGGGGCTCCTCATTTTAAGGGGTACGAGCCCAAAAAAGGGATCCTAATTCAGACAACCACCCATGTGACTGAACCTCCCTACCCTTTTTTACAGGCAGGGTCGAAGAAACGGACCGCGTGAGCTTTCCGTTCGGAGAAAGGCTGCGGAGAGTTCATGGGCGACCCCTGCAAGTGATCATTCCTGAGGGGGCTCTTGGGTTCTTAAACCCCTGAAACCCAGCCGTAAGCCCTTTTGCCGTAAACCTTGGAGGTGGGATCCCTCAACCCCACACCCCAAACCCTGAACCCTGAATCCTCAACCTAAACTCGACATCCTTAAAGTTGACAGTTTGGGGTGGAAGGGTTTTAGGGGTTTAGGGTTCGGAGGGTTTAGGGTTCAGAGGGTAGAGGGTTTAGGGCTTAGCGAGTAGAGGGTTTAGGTTTTGGGGTTGGGTTTGAAGGGCTTAGAGGGTTTAGAGGGTTTAGAGGGTTTAGAGGGTTTAGAGGGTTTACAGGGTTTAGGGGGTTTAGAGGGTTTAGAGGGTTTAGAGGGTTTAGAGGGTTTACAGGGTTTAGGGGGTTTAGAGGGTTTTGAGGGTTTAAAGGGTTTAGAGGGTTTAGAGGGTCTAGAGGGTTTTGAGGGTCCTCCAAGTAGATTCCTGGTCCAAAATCACACCCAGTGCCCATCAAGCATCACCGTTGCTGGTGAACAGCAGCTCCTGAGAAGGATCTATTCAGGTACACCCTACACCCTACATCCTGAACCCTGAAACATTACCCCCTAGACAAGAGGCCTCAAAGGCTTCATCGAGCGTATGGGGAAAAGATCTGTGTGTATACATATATATATATATATATATATCCATATACACATGTGGTTTATAGGGAGGAATCTGGGATGGCTTACAATCCCAAAGCCCGAACCCCTAAACCACAAAAAACCAAACTAAAAGGGCTTCGGGGCCTGTCGCGTCCCCACTCAAGGCGAGTCTTCAGGGGGCAAAGAAGTCCGAAACCTTCAACCGAACGCTTGGGGGGTTTAGGAGCTTTGCGGCTGCTTCGGGTCTCAGAGTTGTTAGGAAGTTTAAGGGTTTCGGGGCTTGTTTTTTGCTGTTTATGGGCTTCCGGGTTTTGGGGTTTAAGGTGTTTAGGGTTTAGGGCTTAACAACAACCCTAAACCCTAAACTCTAAACCCCAAACCCTAAACCCTAAACCGAAGCGGGGGAAGGGATGGCTTCTGGAGACCGGCGGCCCATGTGCCATTGAGCAGCTCCAGGTCGCCATTCCTCCTGCTCAAGTCTCCCTATTGTAGATATTCCCGAAGGTACCAGGGTTTAGGGTTTAGGGTTTAGGGTTTGGGGTTTAGGGTTTAGGGGTTTAGGGTTTAGGGTTGAGGGTTTAGGGTTTGGGGGTTACCACCAAGCGTGGGCAAATATGTTGCCTCCATGTTTAAATACAATGGGCCCTTGAACTTCTGCGGTGTAGCCAATGTGCTCCACACACGAACAACCCCAAGCCCCACACCCTAAGCCCTAGACCCTCTTCTTGATCCCTTGGGCCCTAACCCTAAACCCTACAAACCCTAGTCACCCTAAACCCCCAACCCCACAAACCCTGAACCGTAAACCCTCCTAACCCTCCTGACCCGAAGCCCCCAACCCTGAACCCGACTAACCCTAAACCCCTCACCCTAAACCCTACCCTGGTCCTCCTGTTTAAGATATCCAACCGTGCAAACGGGGGGAGGTGTACGCCCTAAGCCCTACAAACCCGAAACCCTATCAACTCTAGACCCCGCATACCCCCCCCCCCCAAGCCCTGATAACACCCTAAACACTAAAACCTAAACCGAACCCCCCCCCCTTATTTTAATGGTCCTTAATAGGGTGAAAATAGGGGGTGCTAAATCCCCCCCAATGACCTCCAAGATTGCGGGCCTTATTTTGGTCCTCCTTCTTAAGATATCTTGGGGAAATTTAAGCCCTAAAACCCTAAACCCTGAACCCTAAACCCAGGGCCCTAAGCCCTAAACCCAAACCCTAAACCCTAAACCCTAAACCCTAAACCCCCGGAAGCCCTGAACACGCTGCAAAGGCACCAGCATCGGCGCGCTGCCGACGCCTCCGCAGCCAGCGCCGCGGCCGCCACGCGGCGGCCGTCCTCACGTCGGCTGTGCGGTTCGGATGGTTTGGGGTTTAGGGTTTAGGGCTTAAAATTTAGGGCTTAGGGTTTAGGGTTTGGGGTTGAGAGTTTAGGGTTCAGGGTTTGGGGCTTAGGGTTTAGGGTTCAGGGTTTATAGAAATTGGATAGGGTTTGGGTCCCAATCACGTTTTGAGCGAAACGTCTTGAGCGAAACGTTTTGAGCAAAAGTATTGAGCGAAACTTGTTTTTCAACATTAGGTCATTATTGCGTCATTATTGAGTCAGTAATGAGCCGTTTTTGAAACCGTTTTTGAAGAGCTGTTTTGCAGCGAAGCTGAGCGTTTTTTCCGCTTTAAAACAAATATCCCTGCAGACTTACTCAGGTTGAAGGTGCTGTTTTTGGAGTGTATCTTGTGTTTGCTCAGGATGTTTTTATTTTACTTCAACTGAGCTGTCACCTTGCTTGCGTATCAGCCATCGGCCCAAAGTGAGGAGACTCCTGTATGGAGTGTGTCACAACAAGCTTCGCATTGCATGGGCAATTTTGAGTTGAGTTTATGAGTCTTCATGTTGCATATGGCAATTTTGATCGAACATATCCCTTTGAGTTGGGTTGGAGGGGGTGGATTGCAGTTCCTCTCCTTGCGGGAAGAGCCTGGAGACCCCCACAGGGGGCGCATGGGCAGTGTGCCTGCCGAGGATTCGCTCACTTCCGGTTTTCGATCTCTGGGGTTTTAGGGGTCGGCGTGGGGGGGCGGGGGGTGGGCGGTGGCGTAATTTAGTATTCCGGGCAGCCCCGGCTTCGTAATTTAGTATTCGGGGGCGGCCCGGCTTCGTAAGTTAGTATTCGGGGGGAGCCCTTGAGTATTCGGGGGAGCCCCGGCTTCATAACTTAGTATTCGGGGAAAGCCCGGCTTCGTAATTTAGTCTTCGGGGGAAGCCCGGCTTCTGAATCTAGTATTCGGGAGGACTCGGCTTTGTACTTCAGTATTCGGGGGAGGCCCCGCTTCGTAATTTAGTATTCAGGGGAGGCCCGGCTTTTGTTTGTTAGGTCTTTTGGGCAGGCCCCATAGGTTTAAGGAAAATGAACATTTAGCCTCCCAGGTGTTTTGGGATAATTTACTTAAACTCGGTGCGTCAGCAGTTTAGACAAATAGCTTGGGAAATTCCGAATGATATCACCTACAATTTCTATTTATTTTGTCTTGAGGGTTTAGGGTTTAGGGTTTAGGGTTTAGGGTTTAGGGTTTAGGATTTAGGGTTGGTAGGCTTGCTCGGGTTGGTAGGGTTGCTAGGGTTGCCAGGGTTGGTAGGGTTGGTAGGGTTGGTAGGTAGGGTTGGTAGGGTTGGCAGGGTTGGTAGGGCTGGTAGGGTTGGTAGGGTTGGGCTGGTACGGTTGCTAGGGTTCTAGTGCATCTCAGTCGAGGCCCTTCGCTTGTCAAGCAACCAAGCCGGCCCCTACTTCTGAGGGCGGCGCGAGGGTCGAGCGACGGGATCATACCCACCCCGCCCATTAGTTTCTCACAACATTCGGAGATATGTTGCTTTACATATTGTTCATCTTACCCCATCCTCAAACTCTTTCCGAAGGTATGGCCTGAAGCCTTTCGGACCAATAAGCAACATAATTGTCTTCTTTCGGTTGACCTTATACCGAATTAGGCATTGGGGTTGGTGCCCGGAATTGACCCGTACATGAGGGTTGGTACCAAATCGTTGGCACCCAACATTGACCTTATACCCGATGACGTAAGGGTTGGGACCCAAAATTGACCTTATTCCAAATTGGGCATTAGCTTTAGAGTGTTCATATGAAAAAGAGGATGTAGGGTTGAGGGGTTAGGGTTGGTGGGACTTAGGGTGGGGTTTAGGGCTTAGGGGCTTAACGGGATTAGGGTGTAGGGGTTTGGGAGGTTTGGGCGGTTTAGGGGTTTAAGGGTCTAGGGGCTTAGGCGGTTTAGGCAGTTTCGGGGTTGTTCAGGGGTTTAAGGGCTTAAGGGTTCAAGGGACTTGGGGTTAAAGAGCTTCGGGAAGTTTAGGAGACTTCAGGCGTCTTCTCAAGCAAGAATGGCGAAGGCCCCCGGAACTTTGAGGAAAGGTCCAAAAACCCGGAGCTCCAAAACCCGGAGCTCCAAAAGCAATGGAGGACCCTAGGCTTTCTTAGGGTTTAGGGTTTAGGGTTTAGGGTTTAGGGTTTAGGGTTTAGGGTTTAGGGTTTAGGGTTTAGGGTTTAGGGTTTAGGGTTTAGGGTTTAGGGTTTAGGGTTTAGGGCAGGTTCCAGGAGTGATGATGTATAGATTTGACAGGCAGAGGTGACGCCTGAGTATTCAAGGTTTTTTTTTACGGTTCTCACCCTAAACCCTAAATAAACCCTAAACCCTAAACTCGAAAAGGTACCAGTTTCTGGGCCCTGGAGAATGGTTCTGAGCACCTCCCCCCCTGCGAAGTCCCAAGTCTGCAACCCAAAACATAAGCCTCCCCAAAGAAACCCTACATCACGGTAATGACCCTAAACCCTAAACCCTAACCCTAAACCCTAAAATCCTCCTAAGCCCTAAGAAGCTTAAGCACTCTCCGCAAGCTCCGAGACCTCCTCGGCTCGTGGGGAGTAAGCTCCCGGTCGGACAGCTGCCTCGGGCGCAGGCGCTTTGATTCTTTCAGGGCTTAGGGTTTAGGGTTTAGGGTTTAGGGTTTAGGGTTTAGGGTTTAGGGTTTAGGGTTTAGGGTTTAGGGTTTAGGGTTTAGGGTTTAGGGTTTAGGGCTTGGGGGGCTCTTGGGGGCTTTAAAAAAAGAGGGAGTGGAAGATCCGATCCTGACTAACGGAAGCCCCCAAAACAAGGCCCAATATATTGAGAGGAGACATCAAAGAGGAACGCCGGCGTGCAAAAGGATGCATGGTTCAGCTCTCAGACTGCGAGAGCGGCCATGACACCCGAAGCCTAAAACCAGGGCCGTCGATCCAGATAATACAGGGGCTTGAAGAATCAGAATAGGGTTTTGGGCGGGGGGGGGGGTATTATAGTATGATTGTATGGGGACCATAAGAGGGGACGATTAGAAATTCTTCCGACCCCTTTTTTTAAGTTGGGCCCTGTTCGGTACCCCGGAACACTATCGAATAGACCCAACGCAGGCCCATCATGGAAATCAGCGTGTTTTTTGCCTCGGTCGTTGGGCATTGCATGTGCTTCTGGAGTTTGGCCCCATTGCGCCCGCAGTTCTGCAGGGCAACGGACAACAAGGGTGAGCTAAAGGACACAACAATTACAACTGGACTTTCGATCTTCTGGCGGCAAGCCAAGTGATACGCGGCACTTGCGGATTTTGTCTTGATAATCTTCGGTGATGGACAGCTCTTGCTGGTCACGCTGTGCGACTGCAGCAAACTCCCCGGTCCAGCACCGCGCCCGCCACATCGTGCAGTATGCTGTCATGAGAAAGACTGCAAGGAGCACGCCGGCTACGACCAGTGCCGTGACAAAAGCACTCCACCCAGCCACAAGCCCACAGCCCACTGCGACGACCTGCTTCCATCGCCGAGCCCACACCCAATTTTGCTTGAAGGCGGTGATGTAGCAGCACAGAGAAGCCAAGCCTGCACGACAGGCGTACCGCACATGCACACCAGGGGCATCGTCGCCAGCAAGGCGCCTTCGACGCTTGCGGCACCTCTGCGCAGTCACGACGCACAGGCCCTCCACCACGGCGCCGGGGGCCAGCTGGAACAGGAGCCAGGACACCTTGTGAAAGAGGTTGTAGGCGTAAAGGGCCATGCACTTGCAGGCCTGCATGGATAAGGAGGCCATGGACCATCGGAAGCTGAGGAGAAAAAGTGCCATCCAGGCAGTGACGGCGAGAGCGCGGCGCCTTCGGATGACGGCGCGCCATCGGAGTCGGCACTCTGCCAGCCGGGCGTCCCGTTCTGACTGAAGCTGCTGGATTTGCTCCCGCAGGGCTTGCTTTCTTCGAAGGTCCACCTCACCCTGCCATCTCTGAATGAGCAGCTGCTTGCTGACATTGCTTGAGTCGCTTGAGGTTTGGCGCGCTGTCCCCAGAATCTCGCTGTTGAAGCGGCTGATGTGTCGTGAGACAAATCGATCCAGAGCAGGCCTGGCGGGTCGGAGTATCGCAAGCGGCGGCAAGGGCGCAATCCAGAAGTCCGCGGCGAGCAGCATGTCCCAGACCGCGTCGGCTTCACAGCACTCATAAAGGCTGCGGTCAGCTCCCGCGACGTGCCCAACATCGGATGGACTGCAGAAGGTCAGCAGAAAGGTCAGCACGTCACGTCGCAAGCCCAGACTCAGAAGTGCCTCTCGTACCTGCAGCCGCACCGGCGAGCTCAGGATGCCTGTATGGTTGGGAGGTGGCAGCTGCTGCATCATGACGTGCCGCACCCGCTTGAGGCCCCGGAGCCCCTCATCGGCAACTTCTCCCTGGCAAGGGAAGCTCGACGTCTGGGCGCCCATGCTGCTACCATGTAGGTTGGCCCTTGAAACCCTCTGATAACAAAGTTTTCCTGAATATGCCCCTCTTAAACCCAATAAGGGTATATTCAGTATTCCAAGGGCCCACCCAGACATGCAGATGCAAAGATCTTCTTGTGTAGCGTTTCTGCAAGCATGAAAGGCTCGTGGGTTTGTTGGTCGCATGTGAGGATTGCCAAAGACGCTCGCTGCCTTGAGCTGCTGAGCCTGTCAACAGTTGAAGGGTTCAGGGTTTAGGGTTTGGGGTTTAGGGTTCAGGGTTTAGGGTTGAGGGTTTAGGGTTTAGGGTTCAGGGTTTAGGGTTTAGGGTTTAGGTTTTGAACTCAAGAAGGCAGTTCCTAACTCGAGGCCGGCGGGTGGCGGGTGGGGGTTTATTTGGAGGTTCCTGGTGTGCCTAACTGGTGGTATAAGATGACTAGCTATGGCCTTGCTTGGGCCTGAAAAACCTACTCACAAGTGCCCATGAGCCTTCAAGTAAACCCTAAACCCTAAACCCTTAACCCGTAACCCTATATAACCCTAAACCCTAAACCCTCTTGACCAGAAAGCCCCTGGCCTGCACCTCCCGCAGCAAGTTCGACAGCGCCCTTGGGCAGCGGAGCTTGAAGGCTTCCGAGTTCTTCCGGGTTTAGGGTTCAGGGTTTAGGGTTTAGGGTTTAGGGTTTAGGGTTTCGAGCTTAGGGTTTGGGGTTTAGGGGTTTTCGAAGCTGCAACGGACCCTCAACTTCCAGCCGCAAGGCCGAAACTCTGCGCCTTCCAACCCTTCGGAGGGCTCTGGAACCTTTTTGGGGGCACTTCGCGTAGGATGTCTGATGTCGAAGTTTCTCGTAAAGTTCGGAGCCGAGGCAGGCACTGGGCGGGCACGGCGAAGCACGACAGAGGTGTCTTCCAAACCTGGCCGTAAGTCGCTACAGCTTCTGGGTTTAGGGTTCAGGGGGTATTCAGGGTATTTAGGGCATTTGATGGTATTTAGGGCATTTTGGGTATTTAGATTAATTAGGGTATTTTGGGTGTTTAGGGTATGTAGGGCATTGGGCCTGAAACAGCCATTCCCGCATATGTTGAGTGCCGGGAAGAAACCGTGATGGTAATTAGGTGCGACAGCTGAAGTTTGAGGTTCATTCACCAGGAACAGGGAAGCCAAAGGGGCCTCAGGAAACTAGGTATTCTGAGGGACCTAAACCCAAACGCTACGCGGAACCAGTCCCCCAAAGCCGTATGCCAAGAAGCGGCCTAAACCCAAAACCCAAACCGCAACCCCCCAAACCCCAAAATCTTAAACACCAAACCTCAAACCTAAACCTCCTAAAACCCCTAAACCCTAAACCATCGACCCCGCACCCCGCAACCTGGCCCTCAACCGGTTTCAAAGGGCTCTCAGCTTCCGGAAATTTCCGAGGCTGAGGGATGCAAAGCTGCAAAACCAGGGTTTCAGGTTTAGGGTTTAGGGCTTCGGGTTTAGGGTTTAGGGTTTGGCGATGTACATCCAATGGGTTTTGGGGCTTGGGGGGGAAGTGCTCAGCGGCCCCGGGAAGGTCCGAAAACCACCAGTGTGTCCTCGGCACTCGGTAGACACGTCACGTCGTCTACTACAGTACTGTACGAGGGGGAGGGGGGAAACACCACCACGATCCATGGGGCCATCATCGAGAGGGCCTTGATTTCACTAGCCCATGCTTCCTGCAAGGACGACAGTTGAAGCAACACGGAGGACACCACGATCATCGGCACGGACTCGCAGCTCCGATTCCGCATGCCCGGAAAGCAACATGATTGCCACACTTGGACGCACCGAACCAGCCGAACCAGCTGCCCCAACCGAGAACCGACAACCGAGACCGGCTCTTCTCCGCGTTGTTTGCGTAGGCCTGAACACGATGCATTTTGATATCCCAACAAACCCGAAACCCTAACCTTGCAAACCCTAAACACTAAACTCGAAAAACGCCCCCTGAGGACGTCTTGGAAAAACGCAGGCATGGGTTCCAGGGCTTAGGGTTTAGAGTTTAGGGTTTAGGGTCTAGGGTCTAGGGTCTAGGGTTTACGGTTTAGGGTTTGGGGTTTAGGGTTTAGGGTTCAGCGGTTAGGGTTTAGGGTTTAGGGTTTAGGGTTTATGGTTGAGCCCTGGAAGCCCAGACCATTCTAAACCCCGACACCCCAAAACCCGAATGCTCAAGGTGTTGGGATTACGCTTTAGCCTGAGAGCCCTGATCCCAAAACCCTAAACCGTGAACCCTAACCCTGATGCCCTAAACCCCTGAACCCTAAACCCTACTCCCTGAACCCTGATGCCCTAGCCCCTGAACCCTAAACCCCAAGCCCCAAACCCAATCCCTGCCTTAACCCCTCAAGCCCCACAAATACATCAACACCTCGGCTGCCAGCAGCAACGTCACGGCCACCAGCCGGCCGGCAAATCGGCGGACCCGCGCCATCGTGGGAGGGGGCTCTGAAACCTACACCCCTCTCTAGGCTTTTGAGGGTTTGGGGTTTAGGGTTTGGGATTTAGGGTGTAGGGTTTAGGATTAGGGTTTGGGGTTTTTGAGAAATCCAAAGAAGTTCTGTGATTTCGGCGTTTTAAGTTGTTTCGGTGGTTTGTGGTGGTTCACTCTGAGTCCGAGAAGGCTTTCCACCTGACTTCTTGATGGAGTTGCGACCCATTGCCCTAAACCCTAAACCCTCCTGTAAACTCTAAACCCTAAACCCCAAACCCTAAAACCCAAACCCTAAACCCTAAACTTCTGGACCACTGCTTCTTTGCGCTGCAAGATTGCCACCGACAAGGCTCGAAGCTTCCAGCCGATGGGGTGCCAGGGGCGCTTGCGGAAACCGGAGAGCGGTTTAGGGTTTAGGGTTTAGGGTTTAGGGCGTAGGGCTTAGGGTTTAGGGCTTAGGGTTTTAGGGTTTTAGGGTTTATGGTTTAGGGTTTAGCGCTTAGGGGTTTAGGGTTTAGGGCTGAGGGTTTTAGGGTTTTAGGGTTTAAGGTTTAGCGCTTAGGGGTTTAGGGCTTGGGGTTCATGAGGTTGAGGATTTAGCGTTCATGGAGTTTAGGGCTGGGTTCATGGGGTTTAGGGCTTAGGGTTCGTGGGGTTTTGGGCTTCGGGTTTAGGGTTCATGGGGTTTTAGGTTTAGGGTTCATAGGGTTTTGGGTTTAGGGTTCATGGGGATTCTGGGGGCTTAGGGTTCGGGATTCAGGGTTTCGGGTTCAGGGTTTCGGTTCAGGGTCTAGGGCTTCGGGTTTGGCGCATGAACCCCTCGAAAGAGGTGGGGAAGGCCTTCAAGGCTCGCATGACAATCACAGAGAACACTTTCGCCGGCGGCCAGCGAACCTCGGAACCCTAAACCCTAAGCCCTAAGCCCTAAGCACTAAACCCTAAACCCTAAACCCTAAACCCTAAGCCCTAAACCCCAAATACGTGAGCCCAATGAATCCCGTGAGCCTTATGAGCCCAATGAAGCACCTCACCAGGTTCTCCCTCAAACCTCCAAGGCTTGGGGGTTTGGGGGTTTAGGGTTTAGGGTTTTAGGGTTTTAGGGTTTAGGGTTTAGGGATTAGGGTTTCGGGTTATAGGGTTTAGGGTTTAGGGTTTAGGGTTTAGGGTTTAGGGTTTAGGGTGTAGCACGGGCAGCTGAACGCAATAGTGTGAAGACATGCCCACCCCAAGGCCACCCAATCACAACTCACTGCGAAACCAAACCGGAGCCAGCCCAAAGCCAAGCCAGCCATTCAACATCCGTGAAACCGAGCCGGAGCCAGCCCAAACTAAGGGAACCAGTCAAAATTCACACGCCGATCATTCTTAGAGAATTCTGAAACTAGTTAGAACAGCCCAAGCCTTTAGTGACTAGACTTCTGGGTTTTTCTTGGGGCCATAAGGCAAAGGACTCCCCTTCAGGTTTACGCGAAGGGGACGGTCTGGGCCGAAGGGCCCTCTCGCAGAAAACTCAGGCGTGAACAGGTTGCAGGTTGCGGGTCACTTGGGGCCATAAGGCAAAGGACTCCCCTTCAGGTTTGCGCGCAGGGGACGGTCTGGGCCGAAGGGCCCTATCATAGAAAATTTTAGGGCGTGACTAGGTTTAGTCTTCCACAAATTCGACAAATTCGGGAACGGGTATCGCGAGGTTTTGCGCAGGGGACGGTGTGCGCCCAAGGGCCCTCTCATAGAAAAAATTGCAGGGCTTTGCCTTTTGAGTTTGCTTTCAATTCATGGTCTGTTCTTTGAGCAGGTCTGCCACGGACTTTGCGAGGCCAGGGCGGGGTGACCAGACAGGGAGCAGTGGCGCCGGGGCCAGGGCCGCCAGGGCCAGGGCCAGGGCCTGGGCCGCCAGGAGGGCCAGGAGGGCCACCGGCCAGGACAGGAGGGCCAGGAGGGCCAGGAGTCAGGGCAAGGCCAGGGCCAGGGTCAGGGCCAGCAGGGCCAGGGCCAGGGCCAGGGCCAGGGCCAGCGCCAGGGCCAGGGCCAGGGCCAGGGCCAGGGCCAGGCAAAAAGATTCCCCCCAACGGTTTTAGGTAGCTTGGCGACCCCTCAGAGGTGCGGCTGGCAGGCTCTGCAGCCCAGCAGAGCCTGCCCTGGTCTCGCTGAGCGCTCGACTGCGCCCGCCTACCCAATAGAGCTTTGAGGGGGGGCGGGCAGGTTTAGGGTTTAGGGTTTAGGGTTTAGGGTTTAGGGTTTAGGGTTTAGGGTTTAGGGTTTAGGGTTTAGGGTTTAGGGTTTAGGGTTTAGGGTTTAGGGTTTAGGGTTTAGGGTTTAGGGTGTAAGGATTCGGGTTCAGGTGTTCGGGTTTAGGGTTCACAGGTGCCTTTTCGAAGGGCCGGCCTGTTGCGAGCACAACCTCAGAGGCAGTAACTCACAACTTCGCGGTCTAGAATAAGGCTCATACCCTAACCCGGGTTTAGGGTTTACGGTTTAGGGTTCAGGGGCTCAGAGTTGACTAAACCCTAAACCCTAAACCCTAAACCCTAAACCCTCTCTATCATATGAAACTTAAAAACCTCCATGATCTTCGTGGGCAAAGGTCCAAATCTTCGTGGTCAAGGTTTGGGCCGAACCCGACAACAGCATTCCGGGCCCCACGGGTTTAGGGTTTAGGGTTTAGGGTTTAGGGTTTAGGGTTTAGGGTTTAGGATTTAGGGTTTAGGGTTTAGGGTTTAGGGTTTAGGGTTTAGGGTTTAGGGTTTAAGGTTTAGGGTTTAAGGTTTAGGGTTTAGGGTTTAGGGTTCACGGTATGGAGCCTGGGGCTTATGGATCGAGCGAATACTTTCTTAACATTATGGGATTGTTTGGGCGGGTGGGCACTTTTTCCAGAAGCTCGAGCATGGCTTGACTAGAACAAGCTAGAACATGAGATGCTGAGCCTTCTCCCTAAACCCTAAATCCTAAACCCTAAACCCTAAACCCCAAATCCTAAACCCTAAACCCTAAACCCGAAACCCTAAACCCTAAACCCTAAATCTGATGGGTTTGAGGGACGCTGCTCGGCTGTTGAGGCGCTTGCACCGTGTGGGGCTCCGAGGGCTCATGAGGTTTAGGGTTTAGGGTTTAGGGTTTAGGGTTTAGGGTTTAGGGTTTAGGGTTTAGGGTTTAGGGTTTAGGGTTTAGGGTTTAGGGTTTAGGGTTTAGGGTTTAGGGTTTAGGGTTTAGGGTTTAGTTAAGGCTTAAGCTTAGGGTTCCTTGGGGGCTCATGTTGCGTGGCTCATTCGAATTTTGAACTTGGGGTTTCGGCCTTAAACTCCAAGCCCTTAGACCACAAGACCTAAAGCTTGTAAACCCTGTCAAGGCCTATTTCCCATGTTGTGTCACGCCCTTGTCCCAGAGACTCCCATACCCCGTTTAAGGAGGCCAACCGGCAGGGTGCGTCGGCACACACGCTTGCTTTCTTGCTGGTGAGTTCAGGGTCAGGGACCATCAACCCCAAACCCCAAACCCCAAACCCTAAACCCTAAACCCTAAACCCTTTTTGAATAAGTTCCCTGACAAGTAGGGGGTTTGGGTTGGATTCGCCTCTCCGCAACTGGACCCTCCCCTTGGGGCACTGGCAGGGATGCCCATAGCCTCCCGTCAGCAGAAGTTAGGGCTTAGGGTTTAGGGCTAGGGTTCAGGGTTCAGGGTTCAGGGTTCAGGGTTTAGGGTTTAGGGTTTAGGGTCTAGGGGTTAGGGGGTTTTAGGGGGTTTGGGGAGTTTAGGTTTAGGGGGTTTAGGGGGTTTAGCGGGTTTAGGGAGTTTAGGGGGTTTAGGGGGTTTGGAGGGTTTGGGGGGTTTAGGGGGCTTAGGGGGTCTAGGGGGTTTAGGGGGTTTAGGGTGTTTAGGGTTTGGGGTTTAGGGTTAAAGATGGCTCAGAGGCTTGTCATGGGATTCACAGGACGCGAAGGGTTTTGGTTTAAGGTTCAGGGTTTACTTCTCGGAAACGAAAGCCCTGAACCCTAAACCCCATAAACCCTAAACCCATGAAACCGCTGGTTCCACAGGGGTGTTCTTAGGGCACTTCTATATGTGACGACTGAAGTTCCTTTGTGGCCCTTGGGGTTAGCTAGCTACTTATAACGTTGGTAACCTAGCAAGAACTCTTCATGAGCAGGTTCCTAAACCCTAAACCCTAAACCCTAAACCCCAAACCCTAAACCCTAAACCCTAAACCCTAAACCCACGAACCCTGAGAACCTCCGCTGGTTCCCCCTCCAGCAACCTGGGGCCCATCTGAGTGCCCCAAACCCTAAACCCTAAACCCTGAACCCTAAACCCTAAACCCTAAACCCTAAACCCGAAACCCTAAACCCTAAACCCTAAACCCGAACCCTAATCCCTAAACCCTACACCATAAACCCTAAACCCTAAACCCGAAACCCTAAACCCTAAACCCCGGTCATCGCCTCGACACGTTGCACGACCTCGGAGGTGAAGTCGCTCACGCTGGCGCCATCCGCCCCTTGCTGTTTAGGGTTTGGGGTTTAGGGTTTTGGGTTTAGGGTTTAGATCAGGGTTTAGGGATTAGGGTTTAGGGTTTAGGGTTTCGGGTTTAGGGTTTATAGTGTAGGGTTTAGGGATTAGGGTTTCGGGGTTTGGGGTTTCGGGTTTCGGGTTTCGGGCTTTAGGCGATGTAGGGCTTAGGGCTTACACAAGGTTTGCGGGAAAAAATTGGGTCTTCGAGCGTACTGTTTGAGACGCAGGGCTATTGTATTGGGGTGCTGCGCCAGTGACCTTAAGTTACCAGCCGAAGCCCAGACTCGGGAGAAGCCATCTCAACAGGCCAGAAGTTATAACACACCCATGGGCAGTGCTCCAACGTTAGGATCCCTGTGTTGAGGGCGCCGTACTCTGTAGGGGACCCCAAAAGGGGACCCTGATTCTGAGAACCCTAAACCCTTAACCCAAACCCTAACCCCAAATCCTAAACCCTAAACCCTAAACCACCCATACGGGGTTCCCTTGTTCCTTGG